TATATATATATCGAAATTCCTCACTTTCAGTAACTGAAACTGGAAGAAGAAGGAGAACTGATTGTTTCTGGATATTGTGCCATCCTTATGAAGGCATATGGAAAACTAAAGGTTTTTTGCCTTACGTTTTTTTGAGCTTTTCAAAGTTTGTCGATGTTTCTTCTAGCATAGTCGTGTAAGAACGAGATTAAGTGCATTTCAGTTCTATCTTCATATGTCCAAGATTTGTAACTCCTCAGAACGTGCAGCTTTTTTAAAAGAAAACACGAAAAGTACAGGGACTTAAAGACTGAGATCTTTGGCAGTTACTCGACAGGCTCCTCTCTTCCGGTTTACTTGCTTAAGAAGATCTGTTTTAAAAGTAAAACAGTTCCAACAGATTTTGCAGCAACTGTGCTTAAGTACCTTAAAATTAAGAGTTTGGCTGCGGAAGCATATCGGTAGCAACGCCTAGGTGAGGAGATCAGTAGACAGTCTAACGAAATGTAGAGATCTAGAGTCGAAAATTATGTTTCATTGCCTCAAAATAAAGCGACTGGAAAACTTACGGCAACAAGTCATTCAGCGACAATGATGCGTCGATGGGATTCCGAAAAGTGATCTAAAGATCGGCACTAGAGCAACCATTTTTCATTAGCATCTGATAACGATAGTTTGAGGTTCTCGAAATTTTGAATTATCTAGGTGGCAGTATATTGCAGTAGAAAATTTTTAGGTTTCTTATCGAGAGGGGAACGATTGGGATTCTGAAGTATTGAGAAGTGTAGATTATTTTATCTTACAAGTTGTTCAGAGTGATGAAGTTGGTTGTATGGCACTAGGCGTCTTTCCCATTAATGAAGAAGGGGTGGTTTAAATGAGTGCAGTTAGAGAAGTTCCTACATGAGAAGGTCAGTAGGTCGAGATAGAATAGGAATCGCAGTGATACAGATGATGCTTGTCTTTCTACTTGAAATTATGGAAGGAGCGGATGGAATTGAGAAGAAGACGCGTGAAAAAATATTTGAAATATTTAGTAATAGATGACCTTTGTTTGTTTTGATCTTGTTAATACTAATTTACTAAAAGACAGTAATGATAAGAGAATTGGGATTGTCATCTTCTGATTTCTGTGGCTCTTCTTATAGAAGTCATGTGTCGACCAAGATATTTTAAATATGTTTTTTCATGTGTAATATCCTTATTTATGCGTATTACACGCTGCAGTGATATGTTTCGTCGTTTTACATACATATGTTTGAGCGGCTGGTGACAAACTAATCCTTTTTTAGTTTCATATGGTTGAAGCAGAGTTGGAAAGGATTGATCAGCAGGAAAAGAGCAAAAGTTCGGCAACTTCGTCTAAGAAACTTTTTGAAGATCTGGTTCTCAAAGCTAATTGTAAAGAGTATTACCAAGACTGTTTGAAGTGCAAGTATATTCGAGGCGAGTGGAAGAATTGTAATAAACAGGTATTGCTTTTATGTCAATCATATTGCAGTTGCCATTTCAGCATTCTTTCTGACAGGCTCATTTAAGAGATTGATAAGTTGTTAAATATGCCATCGTCATGAGTCAAGTACACGAGCCACCTTTTCTTGAGCTGCATAATTTTTGAATTTTTTCAATTCTGAAATACTGGTACAGTTTCAAAAATTATGTAATGAATTTGCAGAAGTTTTTTCTATTTGTCGCAGTTTACTGAAGATACATTATTTGGTCGGATAAAAAAATCAATTTGCAATTTTTGCTCGCTGCTGTCGGTTTGAGTTATTAGTTGAGGAAGCTGTCCGAAAGATCAAAGTTGACTAATAGTTTGGCGTAATGTATGCAGTCTGCCTATTAGATCTTGGATTGGATGCGAGATCTGTGTTAACGTCTACACTGAAAGAATTTCGGTTGTCTGAAGATACAGCTGCTTGAAGTTTCTGGTCAAGCGAGGTGTCACAAGAAAACTTACTATTTCTTTTGGGACGAGAAGTTTTAGGGAACGACATGCAAGCAACCGCACCTCTGCGAACTGAATATTTGGTTTGGCTGTGGACTTAACGCGATCTAGCGTTGCAATATTTTCGGATCAACTGTTTCTTGCATCTCTGGCAGAAAAAAGTGAAGGTTGATTAGAAGTTGGTTCTACATGATAGTTGTGTACTTATCACAGTAGATGACGCCTTGCAGATTCCGAAGAATTTGTGGGAACTTTTTTTTTTGTTTTTAGAAAGTTTCGGTGAAACAGCGCAGGGGGCCTGGTACTGTTTGCAATATATTTTGTTGGTAATTGTTGTCTTGTCGCTTTGGGGAAATTCTAGTTTCTGCCAAGGACTTCAGTTATCAGTTGGAAAAAATTTTAGTCTGGTGTAAAACGACTTCGTAATCTTTTTTTAGGTAACGGCGCTAAGAAAGTGTCTATTGAAGCATTGGCAAAAGAAGAAGGAAGAGGAGGAGTTTCTGCAGATGATAGGAGCAAAGAATTAGAAGTAAAAACTCTATTTCACTTATTAATTCTCTTTGTTAAAGTTTTTGAAAAAATATGAAAGTTGTTCTTCAGTCTCTTTGCTGTCAAGAAATATGCTTTTTGAAGCCTTTGGTGACATTTCTATTGCTGACGACGACAGTAATCACGAAATAAAGAGTAGCTCTTCTTCTTTTTGTTCTTCAAGTTACACTGCCTTTGATAATCGTAGCGGTTGGTTTTTAGAGGCTGATGAGGTATGTTCTATTTGTATTATTTACAGACTACAACTAAGATAGGCTTACTTCACACATTATAAAGCATTTCAGAAACAGTTCTGAAAAGTTGAAATGTTAGTAATCACCGTGTTTACTGCATCTGTACATGAATTGATTTGAGATGGTTTTTTCGTTCCCCAGACTTCTCGGTAGTAAAAGGAGTCAGAAACATTTTCAGGGTCGTAGTGAAAGCAATATTCTTTCTTTTAAAGCTGACTACTACTATTTTTTAAACGATTTCGAAAAGGCTCTGGAGGTAGTGTTTGCAGTTTTATGAAATAAAAGTTTTATTGGCGATTTTGCTTTTCTGCTTCAAAACTTCTTTTTCATAATTTATATCGTAATATATTGTAGTGCTATAAGAAGTTGTTAGATGCGAGAGACCATAAAAGTTCCTTCGAGTTTAATTTGATAGATTCAATTATACGTTGTGAACTAAAGGTCTGTTTTTTTTAACTTTCTTAATTTTGTTTGATAACTTTTGCATATGTTTTTTGTTTATCACTTGCACGAAAAATGACTACCGTTGTCAATCTTTTTGATCCTGTCAGAACTTGTTGCAGGCAAATCACACTGACCTGAATGATGTTCTATACTTTCTTCATGATCGTTGTCTGCCACTGGTGGCTAATTTTGGCGAGCAGCTGCAGTTTTGGGAATTAAGTTTAAAAGTAGGAGTTCATGTTTTGAGAGCTTGCTGTTATTTAGATACGAGTTTAATCGACTTTTTTGACTGTAGGTTTATTCGAGGGGAAATGCCTTTGAAAAGCACTTTTTTTGGTACGCTGTGTTATTGTGCGATGCGCTAGATACTGTTGAAAGTTGGAAACAGTTAGCATCATCAAAGCTTGGGGTAATGAGTACCTATAACTTTTAATTCTTGCTTACTTGTGATCGAGCTACCATACCATTCTTTAGGCTGCTTATTCGAGGTTCCGCTTAGGATGTTTTGCTCGAGCTACGTGTATTGCACTAGGACAGAGTAAAAACTGTATAGGATTTATGCGTGACCGTCTTGTTACAGTCATTTCAGAGATTGAAACTTCGCTGTCGCAATCTTATAGTGCTTCACAGGTTGGCGTATGAGAATGTTTTAATTGTGCAAATCTTAATAATATCAGGAGGTATCATTACCACAAATAAAGTCTTTTTTTAGATAGCAGCTGCGAAAGACGCTGTTTATTACAAAATTGAGAACCCGACCAAAACAGAATCTGATCATGAAAATTTTCCTCCGCCACATAAGTGTCGTTTAGAAGGGAAGAAAATGAGTTACGACGAACAAAAGTTAATTGTTATCAGATTTGTTGAAAAATTCTCTTGGATTTTTGGCGATGACTCAAACACATTGGTTGCTGAGTTGTCGTCGTGGGTGCTTTTTTCTTCATAGTATTTGACTTGTCATTTAGCGTTAGCATTTGCGAATATTAGACTCTTTGAAATAAAGAACATGAAACAGACTTCTACTGGCACTATTGTCAATTGAAGGCCCCAGCGTGCTGATCGGTTAGCTGGTTTTTTGGAGGGGAAGTTGGAAGTTGGGGACAGTGAAGGGGAGAGCAACAAACGGAGAGGGGACAGCAACAAAGGGAAGGGGAGAGCGGCAATGTGAAGGGGACGGCAGCGGCGGCGCATCGTCTCTACTCGCTTGTTTACACGTTTATGCGTTTCTTAAAACGCTCGCACGGATGTGGTAGTGCTCCCACTTTCGGTGCTACAGCTTCTGGTTTTGAGTCCGCCAACCTTACGATGTGGCGGTGCTGCTGCATTGCCTCCAATTCTAGTTGGCTGCAGTTGATTACATGGATTATTCTAGGAATGTTTGCATGGAACATTTCCTGAGGCATTCTTTAAAGATCGGAGCCCTGGTAAAGTAGTGGGAATCAACGAGAAACTGCTCACCAGGAGAAAGTA